GGGGATTAAATACATTCTAACAGTGTGATGTTTGCATTGCATGTGGCTGCGACTGCACAGCCATGAGCCTCAGAAGATACATAAACAGTACTTTGAGGCTTCATCAAATTCTGTCTGTGAGGCAGGTTAGATGGTAAGAACTAAAGGCAGGACACCTTACTCTGCAAGCGTCACTTTGCAGTCCATAAAACAATAGCAGTGTCCCTCTCCAACAGCAGTTTCCTGCCAATTCCTGTTTAACTTTCCAGTAGTATCTCATGTACACATCTGCTTCCCAGCTCTGGCATTTCCTGTTGGAGACACAAGCCCCAAGTCTAGCACATAAAACTGATTTTCAGGGGAACCATCAGTGGTGTGACTCCTTCATCTTATGGCATTCCAGCATCCTTTGCGCAAGAGATCAGATGATGCAAACTTGTGCGTGAACCAAGCATGGTACAGCATCAGAAGGGCACCGAGGAAAGGGAGAGTAAATTGGCTTCTCTTTCTTGGGGCTCATCTATTGTGCACAATCATTAGGAGAGGAACAAGCAGGAAACGGGTTATCCATCAAAAAGATACCCCAGATAAAATTAAATTGGAAAAGCCAAAAGACCTCAGTCATCAGGATGTTCTTAAACCAAAAGGGAGAAGGAATGTCAAGAATTTGGCTCTCTTGGAAGTGACCACCATTATATAGCATTATGACCTCAGTCTACAAATGGATTGCTCTAGATTTACCCAGAGTAACTGAGCTCATTTCCCTTTTTAGCTGATAAAAGCCCAGTTGTCTGGAACCCCAGCAGGCCAATTGTAAAAGCAGCATGTGGCAAAGGCTGATGAGTCACCAGCTCATTTGCTCAGCAGCCAGTAACATCAAACTCTTCACATTTCCTTGGGCCAGCCCAGGAGAGCTCTGACTTCCACATCCCTGAGTGAGCAAATACGCAGGACGGGGACTGATCTGCCTCCTCCTTCTCTTCCTCCTCCCTTTCCTCTTCCTCTCCCTCCTCCTCATCATCTCTGCCTTGTGCCAGTGCTGTGGCACTCAAAAAGGTGGTTACTCAGGAGCTGGGGCTTTTGCCTCACCACACTCGACAGTGCTTCCAACCATGGAGCAGGAATGTGATTTTCTCCTGAAGATCGGCAGCAAATGGTCCCCCATGAACTGGAAAGATGGAGCAGCTCAGTCCTTGCAGATTCCTCACAGAGGGAGCGAGGGATGACCCCACAGCAGGGAAGTTAAAACTGCTAATATTGTTTGGCAGCACTTCACAAGATCAAATCACCACTTGGTTTTCCAGCAGAGAGCACTTCCAAGAAATCCCACTAGTGATGAAAGTTCCTAGGTAGACAAAAATATCTAAAGTCCAGGCTGTAGAGCAGCCACAGCAGAATAGTCTTGAAAGAGAAGGAGCTCTGGGAATTCTGCTCGGGAATGTCCTGTACTTGCCATCAGCATGAAGCAGGCACCAGGTTTAACATCCTCCCCAGTCATGAGCGTGGCTTCAGCTTTCTACAGGATTTTCTGCCTTTGAACTCCTGCCAAGGCGATCACAGGGATCTCAGCCGGTTCCCATTGCTCCCAGGGGACTTTGCTCCCCTCCAGCTTCCATGGGTGGGTACCCAGCAGGTGGCATCCACGTCCAACACTTGTGCTGGAGCCTCACCTTCCTGAGGGCTTCTCTTCCACTTTATTCATCCCAGGATCTGTTTCTTCATTAATGCCTATTTTTCATTTGAATTTATTTTAAAATTTCACAATATTCACTGGTTTAGTGCTTCTTTAACTATTTTTATTCCTTCCCAAGGATAAAGTTCATTCATCATTCCTCTGTGTTCAGTGGCACGGCATGTGAACCTTTATATAAAGATCATCAGAAAATAGATTTACTAAGAAATTTATGAAAAAAATACTTGAGATCTGTCCATCTCATCAGTGAGAAATATGCTGTATCTAGGCTGGGAAAAATCAGGGCACATCACACCTCCATAATGTTTTATAAAAACATTGGAAAAATAGGTTTTGTTGGAGGGAACAGGAGTGCTGAGTAAGTTCAAGCAGCATTCCCGGACAGACTCAGTTTCCATCCCAGTTATCTGGCAAGGAGAGGCGCTGCATTTGGTGTTACGGTAATCCTCCAACAATGGAAATGTTGCAAAATATGTAGCACCACATATTAAGAAGGGATTAGATGTGGGGAGCCACAAGGAGTAGGAAGACAGGAGCAGCCTTAGAGCAGAGCCTCAGGCACTATTGCAGAAACATGTTTTCTGGAGGAGGATTACAGCCACGTTACAGCCTTTGTTTGCTTGACAAAACCATAGATACAACCCTGGATTTCCACATGTCTGTGCAGATCCTGCCATGCCCCTGACTCCAAGAGCGACCATCAATCCTCACAACTGCTGAGTATAAATCAAGATCTCATCTGCCAGTGAGAGTGTGGAGGATTAGGAACTGTGCTCCCTGCTCCTGCAGGCACTGAGGAGATCCACGCAGAACCCAACTGCTGGGAAGTTGAAGTTGGAGGTTAAGAGACTCGATGGAAAAAAAAACTTCTGCTCAATCTCTATCATGTTCTAAATCTTCTCTGCTCAGGTTTCTAAGGCTTGGATTACACCCAGGAATAGACCGGTGCTTATTAATTAATTCCTTTGAGGCTGTTCAGAGTCATATTTAACAACAGTCTTATTCTGGGTTTGTTGGTGCAGTGTTGCCATGAGGATGACAAGCAGGAACCGGTGTGGATTACTGACACTAGCCCATGGTCTGTCTGATCCAGCCTTGGCAGTGCAGATCCAAGTACCTCAAATGTGAGGGTTGGATCCCTTGCTTTGGAGAGTTACGGATATCTCGCCTCCCTGAAGAGGTTCCTCCCAGTCTGAGTCATTAGTGACTGCTTTGTATTCTGGAACATGAGGTTTACGTCCCTCCAAAACGTAATGGAAAGGTGGAGAACGCAGCCCACAAAACTCTAGACCTCAGTAATTAGACACCCACAAGATTAATTACACCCTGTATGAAAAGAAAAGTGTAAAAAGCCATTGCGAAAGTAATTCTTACCTGGTCTAAACAGCTGCCTTTCAGTGCCTCTGGCCAGGTAACACCTTGATTTTCCAGTCCCTCTTCCTTCAGCAGATCCTGAGTCCATTGCAAAAGAGGACGCTGCCATTGCTGCAGATGAACCTCAGCTCACCTCACTGCCTGTCATGGACCTGCTGGGACAGAATCTGACCCAGGTCCCAGCTGGTGCTGGGCCTCAAATCATAACAAAGCCCCCCCAGAACAGCTGTTGCCTGGCAATCTTTTCCCCTGCTGTCATTTCTACATTAAAACTCCCAAAACCCACCCTTTCCTTCTATACATCATACTTAGTCCAAGCCACCTCCTTCTTCTCCAGAGTGTCAATCAGTGCAGTGCAGTGACCAGAGGGAGCACAGGATTCACTTTCCTGCCCTTGGCTCACGTTGTGGTGGGAGAATATGAGCCATTTCCCAGTCCATTCCTTTGAATCCTTTTCTATTTCAACTCAGCTTAATTCCAAACCACAGGAATCACTTTACTCCTAGGAAGAGCATTTGGATTAAAATTTGAACTGAATCATAAGTCAACATTTAATTGAATTCTACAAGGACAGGACAGTTTTCTAGAAGGGAGACTGAGAACTCTCTCTTCAAGGGAGTTTTGTGCACGTATACTTTTTAAACCAAGAATGATTCCCTGTTGGTTTTAAGGGTAAACCAATAAACACAGAAAGAATTCTATTAAGAAACACTCAAAGGTGACCCTTGTTTGAAATAAGCAGTGCTGTGTGCTCCTGTGCTGTGTGTGCAGGCAGCAGCCCCAGAGCAGGAGCCTTCCCTGCCCACCTCTGTGTCACTGAGCTGGGACACGGCGTCCACAGGCCAAGAAAACACCAAGGACACATCCCGGGCTCCTCCTGCTCGTGAAATGCACTTTATGGCTCTGCTGAGCCCATTCCTGATGAGTGATGAGCCTGCAGGGACACTGGCAGCAGTGACAACACGTTTGAAGGCTGCGAGGACCCCGTGCTTTGTGACCACGTCACCGTCACCCTGCTGAGGTGCAAACAGCAATCTCAGACAGATTTCCACATAGCCAAGCTATGGATACAGCCTGGGCACAGATGTCCCAGCAGAGGGGACAGCTAGGACAGACCCCCTTGCTCTGTGCTGGGGGGTGCCCAGGGCTGAGCTAAGCACAAGAGCAACCTGGGGGTACACATTGGTGAGCTCTCTCCTCTGCCAACATGCAGTTCAAAGTCTGAATCAGTGAATTTTCTCATTTTCCACTCAAAGGAGGAAATGGCAGTGGAGCTTTGGGCAGAAAGGGACAAATGGGAGTCTGCTCCTGCTCTAGGATAATCTAGGATAAAATCCCTGTGGCTTGAAATAGTGCTGTGAACACAAAGAAAGCTGGGGGAAAAAAGGTATTATTTTTGGCTGAAAGTCTTTATGGCTGATGCAGGAACTCTCTCATTAGTTACTCATTGCCTCAGAAAGTCTCATAAAACAGCCAGCAGAGCCCAGCAAATACTTCAGTCTTGTGGGAGCTCAGAAATCCAGGAATTGAACGAGGCCTTGAACCCATTTTATAGGCTCACTTCTTACTGAAAGATCATAAAATATTAAAATTCAGACCCTATAAATAAGGAGGGGAAAGAACTGTGCATTTCCCAGAAGAAACAGCCTCTCCAGGGACTCTTCCCAAGGTAAGTCCAATGCTACCTGATCCAAAGAGGGTTCCCCAAACTGACAGGTGATCAGGGACAACAAACTCATGTAATGGAGATTAGAGACATAAAAACCCCTTGAATCTGCTCTGAACTGAAAAATGCCCTGCAACAATGGACTCAGTTTATTTCCTGGTGACCCTGTGCCCGCTGTGGGGGCTCTCCCTGGGGTGTCTGGTGGCTGCAGGGATTAACCCCTGCGAGCCCTGAGCAGAGGCAGCAGTGCTGTGACCCTCTCTCCAACAGAGCCAGCTCTGCTCCGAGATGGCGCAGAGACGCAGCCTCACCATCCCCTACGGAGCGCCTGTCCTTGCTGTTTCCTTCTTGGCATGTGTGGCCACAGGTAAGCAATGGAAAAATCCATCCTGGCTTCGTTCAAGCCCCATCACACCAATTACTGAAACTGCCCAGGGCTGTGTGAAGTGCCACAGCAGCATTTTGAGTGTTCTGGAGGTCATCCTCACAGGACTGTCTGAAAACTGACCTCTGGTTTGAGAGTAGCAGAGAAAGGAATGGGGAGACATCAGTGTTTTCCAGCATTATTGCAGCAGGGATGATGAGGCCACAGTTTCCAAGCCTGCTCTAAGCAGTGAGAATTGTGATAGGTTTGGCCACCAGGGAACACCTTCAGACAGGGACCTTCAGACTTCTTTATAGTCACAGGACCTTAATACCTTTATAATCTGAGCTATATTTTTCATTCATTATCCTATGGCCCAAGCTGCAGTAGCGAGTTTAATCCCATTACAATAATTTATTTCCCATACTGGCTGCTCATTTAGTATGTCCTGAGGTTTGTACCTTTGACAAACTGCAGCTCTGCGACAGCCAGGATACAGCTGAGGGGCTGATTAACTCATTTATACTCCCAAGGGCATCCTGCTCCAACTGAAAATCAGAATATCAAACAGTGAGCACGGTGGTGCTGCAGCAGTGATTGGCAGCAGGAAGGTGATGGGATGGGAATGGCCTTTTGTTGGGTGTCCTGGCTTCATTTTGTTGTCCCAGGTCAGGCTTTGGTGTTCTGGCAGTCAGCTGCAAAAGCCTGATTTTTATTTTAAATAACTGTGGAGGGAGCTTTGAGATGAAGACAGGTTCTTGTCTCAAAAACTAACATTCCACCTGAAAATAGCTGTTAAATTGAAACCTGAAAGTCTCATCCCTCCTCCAAGGTGGAGGCCCGGAGAAGTGAGCAGGGCAGATTTTTGTGGGAAGAATATGCCTTAGGATGCTTAAATGTTCTTGTCCTGCTTCTTCTGCAGGTTTGGAACTGTCTGTAAATAACCACGCTGCTGACTTCACCCTGTCTACAGGGCTCAGCCCTGCCATCTCCCTCTCGTGCCTCGTACACAACAGCAGCCAGGCCGAGGAGCTGCTCTGGTACCGCGGAGATGGGCAAGTGGGTCTGAAAGAGGGCAATAAAGTGAACATCAGCAACATCTGCATATCCCCCGTCAACGAGTCTGACAACGGAGTCACCTTCACATGCAGGCTGGCACGGGACAAGTCCGTGAAGGTGTCTGTGATCCTGGATGTGCAGTGTGAGTGGCCGTGGTAGATTCCTGTGTGGAATGCCTGGGGTGGGAGTCATGGGCCGAGCTGCTCTGTCTGGGCGGTGTTTTGCACCCTTGTACGCTGTCTTCACCCAGAAAAAATGCGTTTAGGAGGAGATAACTCACGTGATAAGACACTCCCTTCCCACAGTGGTGCTTATGGCTGATCTAAGGCCTCTTTTATAGGAGTGGGTGGGCCCTTAAGGAAGATACTCTGGATATGTCCCTGCCTCCACCTAGATTATTTCCCAAGGATACAAGTCAGGGCAGAGGAAATACTGGAGTGACAGTCTCTGCCACTGACTGCCCTCCTCATTCCAAGGGACCAGGAAGGGCTGCACTACTGTGATGTGTTAGACCACTGAACAAGGAGCATGAGGGATGTGTGAAAGGAACTTAAATGTGGGCATTCTATGAGGTTGAAGCAAGGTGCGGTCAGTCTCTTCTCCCAGGTAAAAAGTGATAAGAGGAAATAGCCTTAAGTTGTACCAGAGGAGGCTTAGATTGGGTATTAAAGAAAATTCCTTTACTGAAAGAGTCATCAAGTCCTGGCACAGGCTGACCGGGGCAGCAGTGCAGACAGCATCCCTGCAGGGATTTAAAAGATGTGTAGATGTGGCACATGGGGACATGGTTTTGTGGTGGCCCTGGCAGTGCTGGGTTAACAGCTGGACTCAATTTGAGAAGACTTTTCCAACCTAAATGGTTCTGTGATTCTATGAGCAGCATTATTAATGACCCGTTGAACTGCATTCCTGTGCACAGTCCCTCCCCAGCTGAGTGGAGAGGAGACCCTCCACGTGGAAGAAGAGAAAGATGTTACTCTGACCTGCAACTCCAAATCCAACCCTCAAGCCCAAAGCACCTGGTTAAAGGACAACCAGAGCTTGACCCTGCAGCAAAGTCACCACGAGCTGTACCAGACCAGTGAGGTCTTTCAGCTCTCCATCAGAAAAGTGCAGAAGTCTGACAACGGGACCTACACCTGCGTGGTGGAATCACGCCTGGGGAATGGGACAAGGGATTTCCACCTCATAGTTGAAGGTAACAAGGCTGCTGCTGATAAAAAAAGCTTTACAAATAATTCTCTGTTATCTTTTATGACAATCCATTTGTATTACGAAGTGTAAGTGGAGTGTGGTAAATTCCCTGTATGGATTTCTGAGGGCACAGCAACAGCAAGGAGCTCCAGGAAGGGCCTGCCCTGCTCTACCTGTTGTTCAAAAGCATTTGGCAAGTGTGACCCGGGGCAGGCTCATCCCACTGCTGCTCTTTCCACGCTGACAAGGCACATTCAAGTGTGGTTTAAAGCACCTCAGGTCTTGAAGCATTTACTGTGACCACAGGATTCTGTCATGCCCAAAGAGCTGCTTAAGGCAAGAGAAGTTGTGCTCCAGAGGTGGCTACAGGGGCTGAGTGCTCAGGGCTCAGACAGGTGACACTAAATCACCTCTGTCCAGACCCCTTTCATTTCTGTCCTCCTGGCACAGGGAGGGAAGCAATGTTACCTGTGTCAGTGGTACCTCTGGACAGCCTTATTTCTGAGCACAACAGTGCCTGGGGAATCTTCTTCAGGAGCTGATGTTTCAATCCTTCTTCAGTTCACTAAAATACAGGCTCCCTCTTCTCCAGGGGACTAACACACAGAGTCAGTATGCAGACAGCAGGGAGAGCAACAGTTAACTCAGCAGTGACAGCTGTGGGAAAAGAAATATCTTTCCACAGTCCTGTGAAATATTCTAGGTTATATGACTGCATGAATTTCTCACATATCGAACTTCTTTTTTCCTGACAGATAAAAAACCTGTTTTTCCCAAGGAGGCTGTTATTGCTGCTGTTGTGGTGGTTACAATCACAGTACTTTTTGGAATTGTGGCTCGAAAAGATAAATTTTTTAAGGTATGTAAAGTTCTAATTTCATAGGAAAAAAATAGTATTGTTGGCTGCAGTGACCTGTTTTTTTTCTACCTTTCTATTCTATTTCATAATATTGCTTTTCACTGTTAGAAAACATCTACAAACTACCTCCTGCTTTAGAATTACCAGTAGATAAATCAAGTGTTAGATATTTCATGTGGAAGGCATTACGTACTTGCAATATTTGTAACAATATCCCCACAGCCAGGAAACATGAACGCTAACAGGACTGCTTTTTTTCTTTTCTTTTCTTTTCTTTTCAGTGCTTCAAGAAATCAAGAGAAACATCTCTGTAAGTATTTGCTTATTCACACTTATTCCAAATGAATTCCATCTTTAAAATTAGCAGAACCTGAAAAAGTTCACTCAGCATGATAAACCTGCCCAGATCTCGCTCTGGCTGGTGAACATCAGCCCACACCTCCTGTCCCAGCAGAGAGGGGACCCTGGGAACATGACAGGACACAGATAAATCCTGCCCTTCCCTGGCCATCCCAGGGCTCTGGCTACCCCTGCATGTAACCACTGGAAGGCAAAGAACCCAGATATCCTATCCTCAGCCTGCTTTCCGGGAGATGAACACAGCCCAGATGAATTCAACTTACTTGTGGTTTTTTTCTTCTAGGAGGTGATTTTTCGTTTCTTCTGTTCATTTTGCTGCAGGTAAAGAACACGCAGAAAACGTAATTTCTAATGGTCAACCAAAGCCATTTTGTGAGATGATGAGATAAAGCACTGAAACAGTTTTTCTGGGATCAAGTTTATATGTTTTTCAAAATATAAGTGGTTCTTTGCATCTGTTGATCCTAAGCTGCTGCTTAGAGGATCAGAACTGTTAGAACTGGTCACTGGGAACCTTTCCTTGGAGCACCATTGAGGCAGGTGGGCTGCATGAGATGATGTCTCCTTTCCCTCCATGCTTATTCCAACAAGGAATGCATGTGCAGTCAGGCATGTGGGTTGTGGATCAGTCTACAGAGGAATCTCTACTGCATTGTGATGCTGATGCACACAAATAAAGTGAGGTGCTGGGCTGACAGCTGCTTTCTGTCCTGCAGTGCCTTTCCACAGGGCATTGGGGTGGTGGCCACTCAACTCTCTGCCCCTTCCCAATGATCCTGTGGGCATCTCAGCTTCTCCTGCCAGGGCAAAAGCTGCCTGGCACTCGGCACTGCTGCTGCACCTCCGGTCTCCATGGCTCACCAGGGCTTGGGGCAGCTCCAAGTGCTCAATGACACACAGTGAAGGTCCAGTGTGATTGCTCCAGCGCCATGATGGGTGGAAAACACCTCCATCCATCCCTTCCCCCAACAAATGTGCCACTCAAGCACTTTTCTCAAGGTCCTGGCAAGCTCTTGAGGCTTCATCATGCCTTGGAATAGTCCATTACTAATACTATCAATAAACACTGTGTGCTGTAAATCAATTTGAGACACCAGTGTTCTTCTCAGAGGAGCGGGCGGCTCCCGAAGAGGAGAATTCTGCAGCCTGATCTGAAGTGTGATCCAGAGCATGTCCTTGACCCACCAGCGCTCAGGGAAGTCCCTCAAGGTGCCATAGTGGTGCCACCTCATGTTCCTGGGCACTTGTCTCAACACCAGCAGCTGTGGAGAGCTGTCCCAAACCCTCCTGTTGCTCTGCAGCACAGGGAATGCAGATAGAGCTGGGGACAGCAGGATGGGGGTGCTCCGGATGGGTGCCACTCACCCAGGGTGACACCAGAGCCTGTGCCCCTGGCACTGACACGAGCTTGTGCCACAAACAGCCCCTGGCACTGATGCTCCTCGGGGCGGGGGGGGCAAGGACTGCAGACAGAGTGGAATGTTCTGGAGCTGGGGTTGTGTGGGTGTGAGGGGTGTGAGGGGGGAATGTTCTGGAGCCGGGGTTGTGTGGGTGTGAGGGGTCCCTGTGAAGGGCTGGCAAGTGGGGCCGGTGAGAGGGGTTTGTGTGAGGGGCCAGTGTGAGGATCTGTGCAAGAGGTCCCTGTGAGGGGTCCCTGTGAGGGGCCGGTTTAAGGGATCCATGTGAGGGGATCGGTGTGAGGGGCTGCTGAGAGGGATTCTTGTGAGAAGGGTCCATGTGAGGGGTCCCTGTGAAGGGTCCATATGAGGGGATCGGTGTGAGGGCTCTCTGTGAGGGCGTCCGTGTGAGGGGCCGCCGAGAGGGGATTCTGTGAAAGGGGTCCGTGTGAGGGGCTGGTATAAGGGGTCCATGTAAAGGGTCCCTGTGAGTGGTCCATGTGAGGGGCCGTTTTAAGGGGTCCCCGTGAGGGGATCAGTGTGAGGGGCCGCCGAGAGGGGTCCCTGTGAGAAGGGTCCGTGTGAGGGGTCGCTGTCAGGGACTGATGTGAGGCGCCATGGTGAGGGGCTCTCTGTGAGGGGCCGTCCCACCGGCTCCCCCGCACCAAACGTGTCCCTCGCTTCTCGCCGTCCGCCCTCCCGCCGCCGCTCCCCCCCTCGCCCCCGGCCGCGGCCCCGGGCCCCTCTTCCGGCTTCCGGTGCCGGCGCTATAAGAGCCGCTTCCGCCTGGGGATCGTGCTGCCGGTGCCGCCATGAACGCCCGCGGTGAGGGGCGGCCGGGGGGTCCGTCCGTGAGGGCTACGGCGGTACCTCGGATGGGGGGCGGTGACCGGGGAAAGGGGGGTGGTGCTCATGGTGCCTTAGCAGTGGGTCAGGGGACGGTAATTCCCGGGGTAGGGAGGCGGCTACCGGCCCGTGCGGGGGCTGGGAGATTGGTGGTTACCTCAGCAATAAGTTGGGTAGGGGGGGAATTACTGAGGGGGAGGCGAGGCGTTACCGGGACCTTACGGGGGCTATGGGCAGGGATAACGGGGCGGGACGGGAGCCTCCCCGTTAGCTCCGCGGTGGCTGGCAGCGGCTGTGTGTGTGTCTGTGTGAGTGTGTCTGTGTGTGTATGTGTGTGTGTCTGTGTGAGTGCCAGCGGGGTGCGCGGCCGGCAGGGTGGCCGTGCCCCGGCGCTGACCGTGCCCCTGTCCCGCAGGGCTGAGCACGGAGAAGGCCGTCGCCTTCACTCGGCGGCTGCGGGCCGAGCCGCAGTTCCTGCTGGCCCAGAACGTGGCGACATGCAACGACCCGCTGGAGGTGTGCCTGCAGCGGCAGGTGGTGCAGGACACCGTGCAGGTGTTCCAGCACGCCGTGCCCGCCGAGGGCAAGCCCGTCACCAACCAGAAGAACTCCGGTAAGGGCGGGCAGGGCCGGGGGTGGTGTTTGGGGGCTGACCCCTAACACTGATGGAGCTCCTGGGAGCTGCTCCACAGCCCTTTGTCCGGGCTTTGGGGAAAAGTCGAATTCCTGCAGCATCCTCCTGAGTTAGCATCACACATCAGACCTGCAGCGTTTGCGTCTTTTCCCTTCTGCGTGGCGTAACTGAGAGATGTGCTCGCAATAAAAGATTTCAGAACACCTTCAGAGGGTTTTGGTGTTGCAAGAAGCCCAGCCAAAGGCTCGAGGCAGAACTGTGTCATGAATCTCGTGGTAAAAGGAATTGTTGTGCAGCTCCCGAGCACAGGTGTTCCAGTTTAATTCGTGTTCCTTTGATCTCTCAGGGAGATGCTGGATCTTTTCCTGCCTCAACGCAATGCGTCTTCCTTTCATGAAGAAATACAACATTGAAGAGTTTGAGTTCAGCCAGTCCTATCTCTTTTTCTGGGATAAGGTACAGTCATGTAGGTTGTTGTAGGGTTGCTTATGCAATCAGGTGTTAGTGTTGGGACAGAGCTTCTTTTAGGCTGCATTGTTTTAGTGTGTGTGAGAAGAAACTTAAAAAGTTCCTTAAAAATGTGTTTTAAATGCAGGTGGTTAAGCAAAGTGGCACTTTCAGCTTGAGAAAAAAGTTTTCAAGATGTTGATGTTTTGGAGCAGTAGAAGTCATTTTTTTTTTAAGAGTTCTGTATGTTTCAGAAGTTACCTTTGGGTGCTTCAGGGGAAACATGACTGTAGCTCTGAGGTTTCAGTTGTGCTTGTGACCTGATGGGTGAGCTGTGTGCCTGCTTCTCCCCTCTAAGGGAAATTAAGCATATCTAGTGCTAGTTTGGGTCAGGCTTTATGCATAACTTCTGTTTCCTGTTCCCCTATCCTCAAGCTCTTGTGTGAAGTCACTCCTAAACATTTGGTCTAACAAAGAATTTTATAGGGATGCTAGAGGGGAAAATGAGAACTTCATTGTATGAGCAGAAAATTGCTTCATCTGTTCTGTAATTGCAAAGAACTGAATACTCAGCAATTCATGAATGCATAATATATCAGACTTGAAAGGGTTGTGGTTTTTTTGTCTGTGTGTTTCAGGTTGAACGTTGTTACTACTTTTTAAATGCCTTTGTGGAAACAGCTCAGAAAAAGGAGCCAGTGGAAGGAAGACTGGTGCAATTCCTGCTCTCCAACCCCACGAATGATGGTGGACAGTGGGATATGCTGGTCAACATTATTGGTGAGAGAACTGGTCACAAGGAGCCCTTCCTGAAACTGCAGTCTGCTTTGAGAAATGGGGGATGGAATAGAATAAAAAAATTGCTCTTGAGGCCTGGGAAATGGCTAAGGCACATGATGCCATTAACCACCGTATTTTTTTTTATCAAAGACTTTTTGGGAGCCAGATTATAAATATTTGGTTTAAATCTTGTCTGGCATCCCTCCTGCATAGTCCTCTTGATGATAAAAGCTCAGAAGATCAGCAAATAATTAGATAGCCCTGGCTTTCAATTTAATGAAAGGGTTCAATACCCTTTTCCTCCAGTCATCAACTCATCCTCATTTATTTACAGCCATGTACAGTCTTTAGGGCACTGCTGGACCCAGGTGTGTTTACAAAGGAAAACTACTTGGAATTACAGCCTGAAGTTGGTATAAAGATCAGTGAGAAGGAATTGGTGTGGAATGTGGCACTGCTGGTCTTACAAAGCTTAATTACACCAGCACTTGCTCTCATTTGTGTTGTGAAACAATGTGCACCTTTGTAAATCAACAAGGCAATAATACAAATTTAGAATCACAAAAGGAATTTGTTTCTTTGAAGCCTGGAGGTTCCTTTTTTCCTCATCCCATTACTATAAATACTTAATCAGGGCAGAGATTTTTGGCTGCTGCTGGTACATCCAGAGCCTTGCACAGTGAGTGGTACTCTCATGTAGGAAGCCATTAAGCTGCTGCTGGTGTTTTATAAATGTTGAGGAGGAAAGGAGACTGGGAAGTCAGTTTTAACCTTAGATAATTTACATGGTGTGATTCACAGGAGGCCCAGTTCTTTAGAAGGTGTTTCAGGAGATTAATTTTAAAGTAATCAAGGTTTTTTTTTTCCTGGTGAACAGGACTTCCTAAAGCACTAATTAATTCAGAACTTTTAAGTGTTCAGTTAAATAATACTGAGTAGTTCAGGGATTTCACGTTCTGGGATCCCTGTGGAATGCGATCAGAGGTCAAGATTCAGTCACAAATTAAAAAGTAAACTTTGGGTACTTGTAACCATTAAATAAGAGCCTTTCTGTTATAATCTTTGC